CTTGCAATTTCATATCTCCTCACAAAATATATGAGTTCAAATATTATTTTCCCATTGATATGAGTTGACATGTTATTATTTCATATAGTTTGACAATTTGCATATGAGTTGACATGTTATTATTTTCTATTGAGTTTATTTGATATATTAAATGTTTTTCTTGTTTAATGCAGGCTCATTATTAATTGGACTTATAAAATGGTGAGAAAGAACAGTGATGTGCATAGTAAGGGCAAAAATCCAAAAACAACAAAAGATGAGTCCAAGATGATGATTCATCGCAAGACCGGTTACTTTAACTTTCTGTAAGTGTTAAACGGCTCTTCCAGTATATTAAGTACTTTTTATAGGACTAACTAAATGTGAATGTTATAAATAGGAAAATAAAGGGCGATGAAATTAAACAACAAAAAATAGTGGAGAAAGTGGATACAAAGGTGATAAATTGTAAACAATACATTTAAATAGAGACGTTACAGCTCACAACTTATAATGAATTGATTGAATTTTATTATTTTCTTCCTCGGACAAAGAAGGAAATCGCAAATATGTGGCAAAAGTTGGATGCTACTAAAAAAGCAGAGTATGAATCTAAAACAGCTTCAACTAACGCCTCAAACAAAAGTTGTTTGAAGATAGTCACACGATGCAGTCCGAAGGATATAAAGGACACTATAAATGTTTTAAGCGATGAGAAAAAAGCAGCCATTGAAGAAATGGGATTTGTTTCGTTGTTGGAAATGAAGTGCGGAAAACTGTCTCGTTCAATGTGTCATTTTTTGGTTGATAAATTGAATCCTGGTGAATCATCAATCGTGCTACATGGGAAAACACTTAAGATATCTGTCGATGACTTCGTGCGCATAATAGGTGTTAAGGATGGAGGAGAGGAAGTTTACTGCACCGGATCCATGGATGACCAACACATTGTAAAGGTGTGAAATTCATTTTTGGGCGGGAAGAAGCTTTTAAAAAATAATGAGTTGAAGCAGATAATGGTGGGGACAGAAGAAGCAGACGACTTTTTCAAAGTTGGTTTTGTCATGTTTGCTCTATGCACGTTGCTATGTCCAACCACTTCCATGTATGTGAATCTAAAATATCTGCTTCCGTTAAGAGATAGCAAGGCAATAGAAAAGAAAAATTGGGCAAGTTATTCATTTAGATTTTTATTAGACAGTGTCAGGTCATTTAAGGAGAACAATCAAGTTTACATCGGTGGTTGCTTGTTATTCCTTCAATTGTTTTACCTCGATGCTATAGCTCATGGTAGCGTACTTGTGGATAGGTTTGTGCTACCACTCACTGTGTGGGGGAAAGTAGAGACCGAAAAAATGAAGAAGTGGCTGCAAAAAAGAGGGGGGTTTGAAAGTGATAAGGTAGTTGTTATGAGAACTTAATATGGAGGTCTCGGAGATGATGCCAAAACAATGACTCACTTTGCCAAAGAGTTAAGTTCAATAAGAAAGGATGTGGCAACTTTGGTGGCCATTGTTGCTCGTATGGACGAATCGCTCTCCAAGGTTATGTCTGAGCTATCATCAAAAAATGAAGAGAAAGAAAGAACATTGCACACTTCATGCCCTAATGAACGAGAAGTTAAACTTAATAAGGAAGATGATAACATGTTTGAAATGGGGTGTCATGGGGGACAAGAAGACCTTGGAAATACTAAACCTCCAAAAAGTTGGCCAAACAAAGAAGACGGAACTCCCAACGAGCAAGATGACAATGTGAAAGGATTT